CAGGCACCAGTCTAGGTGCTTTGTGCCTATTAACTCATTTGAATCCTTGCAACCAGCCCATGCAAGGGGTGATATTTTTACTCCTCTTTTGCAGATAAGAACAGGGAGGCGGCCGGGCGCTGTGGCTTACGCCTGTAATCCCAGCTCTTTGGGAGGCCAAGGTGGGTGGATCACCTGAGGTCAGGAGTTCAAGACCAGCCTGGTCAACATGGTGGAGCCCCATCTCCACCAAAAATACAAAAATTAGCCAGGCGTGGTGGCACATGCCTGTAATCCCAGCTACTCAGGAGGCTGAGGCCGGAGAATTGCTTGAACCTGGGAGGCAGAGGTTGCAGTCAGCCAAGATCGCACCATTGCACTCCAGCCTGGGTGACAAACAGATTTATCTCAAAAACAAAACAAAACAAAACAGGGAGGCCTGGAAAGTCTGTCAGAGACACACAGGCGAGTGGGGTGGCAAGAGGCAGGGCCCAGGCTGTGGAGGTCACAGCTCGCAAACCTGCCAGGTGAGCAGAGAGGAGGGGCTGCCCCTCTCCACAAGGCCACATGGTGGCCAGCAGTGGCATTAAGGCCCTGGGAATTATGGCTTGTGCACCCCAGAGACCCCCAAGCACCCCTGCCAGGGAGACACCCAACGTCTTCCACAGGCTGGAAAAACCCAGGGGTGATGGGGCGGACATCAGCACCTCTCTGTGTGTGACTTTAGACAGATCAGGTCCCCTCCGGGTCTCAGTCTCCCCATCTGTTCCATGCGAGGGTGGGCAAGGGTCTGAGGTCTTCCCAGGCAGGGCGTGGGAGCTGGAGTTTGGATTAGGCTGGGCATCATTGCCCCCAGGTGGCCAGGGATGGTACTACAGCAGCTGGGATGCCTGGGGAAGGCAGTGTCCTCCCCACATGCTAGCCAGGGTCTGAGACTGTACGCCACCACCAACTTGGGACTTTCAGTTCCACATTGCCTTTCAAAACGCCTTCCCCAAGGGAGGAACATCTGCATCCCTGACATCCTGCTGGAAAGGGCTTCAGGAACAAGGGACAGGGACGCTGAAAGAATGCACGGTGGCTCACCTGTAATCCCAGCACTTTGGGAGGCCGAGGTGGAAGGATCATTTGAAGCCAGGAATTCAAGACCAGTCTGGGCAACACGGTGAGACCTGATCTCTACAAAATATAATAACAAATCATACTGAAAAGGAAGCACCTTACGGTTATGGCCATGGGCCTCGAGTCTTTGGACCGTGAGAGACCAGGGCCAGCTGTCCCATGCCAGGGCCCTCCACCAAGGGTCTCCGCCTGTCGGGAGCCCCCAGCCTTGGCCTGCACAAGACCCCCACTCCCAGCCCTGGCAGTGAAAGGAGGTTGAGGCAGGAAGGGACCTGGAGTGATCCCAGCACCAAGAGAGAGGACTCCTTAAACCCCCCCAAGGCTGGGTACAGTGTCTCATGCCTGTAATCCCAGCACTTTTGGAGGCTGAGGTAGAAGGATCACTTGAGTCCAGTAGTTCAAGACTAGCCTGGGCAACATAGCGAGACGTCATCTCTAGAAAAATATTTAAAACAACTAGCTGGGCAGCTACGCAGGAGGCTCAGGAGGAGGATCACCGAAGCCCAGAAGTTCAAGGCTGCAGTGAGCTATGATCGCGCCACTGCACTCCAGCCTGAGAGACAGAGCAAGACCCTGTCACTTAAAAAAAAAAAAAAAAAAAAAAAAAAAAAAAAAACCTCCCAGGTTCCCTCCTCTCATTAAGCCTCCCTGCATTGAGCCCCAGCTCCAAATCCCCATGGAACCCCCAGCCTCTCTCTCGGAACTGTTAACCCCTCGATGAACGCCAACCCCTCACTGGACCCCACATCCCTCTCTAACCCCCAGTGCTTCCATCTGGTTTGGAGGAGAAGCCCTGCCAGCCCCTCAGCTGGCCCCTTAGTGGGCCTCACCCGAGATGTAACAGCTGCCGCCCGAGAGTCCTGTCCCAGCGGCCACAAAATCCCAGCCCTGTCAGTGACACCTGCCTCTTTTCTCAGGCTCTTACCCGCCCCACCCCCACCTTGGCATTGCTCCTTCTGAAGCCCTAGGGCACCACCTGACCACATCCCCCACCCTTTTCCAGCTGCCTCTGCCAAGTCGGCCCTGGTTATTTTTCCAGCACAGTCTGGCCCCAAGTGGCTCAAGGACTTTGAAGTCCTGGGTCCTGGGAGACCCCACTCCAGGCCCTGAAAATCCCAGGGTTCAGCAGTGGGATAGGGGTGGATCCTGGCATTCTCTCAGCCTCGAGGCCTCAGATTCATTCTGGACATGGATTCTGTACAGAAGGAATCCTTTCCCCGCCTGCCCCCATCAGACCCCCACCAGAACCAGTCTCTTCTTACCCAGAACTCCACACCCTTGGCCCATCTCTCCATGGGAGACTATCTCCAAGGACCATTCACCCTGTCCAGCAGGGAGCTCCCCACAGCTGAACGGGTCTTATTATCTGTATGTACCCAATCCTGTCATGGGGCCTGCACACAGTAGTTGCTCAGTGAATGTGGGAGGAATGAATGAGTGAATGATGTTTTCTGGGTATTCGGTATGTCAGTGACTCACAGCCCCGGCAAACAGTCACTTCTTTAAATATGTGAATTAGGCCAGGCGTGGTGGCTCACACCTATAATCCCAGCACTTTGGGAGACCAAGGGGGATGGATCACTTGAGGTCAGGAGTTCGAGACCAGCCTGGTCAACATGGTGAAACCCCTGGTTGGTGCCGCCTTACATAAAAGACCCCTCCCTGTAGATGTCTCAAAACAAGCAAGTTTCCCAATAGCTGAGCAGCCAGCAACCTCCCTCCAAAAAAGGTCAGTTCCTCTGTGAACCTTCAGAAAGCTAACAATAGCTCTCTTCACCTGCTACCTCATCATCAATCCATTCGGCCATTTCCATGTTTGTGTACATGTTTGAATGCATGGCCCATGGCTCTGCTTGGCTCTACACATAACCGAATGCTTTATATGTATTATGTCATTGGCGTGTGTATATTTGTGGTAACGGAGGAGCGTGTGTGTGCATGTGTGTGTGGCATATGTGTGTGTGTGCATGTGTGTATGTCGCCTGTTCACATATACTTGTGAATCCATGGGCATGTATACACGGCTGAGATGCGTGCTAAGAAGTTGCTGTATCTCTGAGTATAAATTGATGAGCTCCTATGAGGAGAAGCCCAGTTAATTCATCTTCCCAGGTTGCTCAAGGGACATCAGAGAAACTGAGGCTCAAAGAGGTTGCTCAGGGTCTGGGTCATCCATTCTGTCACTGACTAAGGTGGAAACCAGGTGTCTTGCCTCCCGCCTTCACACCCTGCTGATTTCCAAGACCTGTCACCTAGCTCAAGCCATGTCTCTGCTTATGTTCCCAGTCTCCAGGCTAGAATGACCCTTTGCAAGGCTTGGCAACCAAAAGCCCTGGGTCTGAAGCAGACTGGGCAGTAGCCACTGATAAACCTGCATCATGCACGACCAAACTCCAAAATGAAACAGAAAATTCCCCACAGCCTGAAATCCCCAGACACCCCAGGACTGAGGTCACCCCAGTGAACAGAGCCCCCAGTGCACATTCCCACTCCCTGTCTGTGTATCTTTCTTAAAACATTTAACCCATTGATTTTTATATTACCAAAGTAACATATATTTGTTTTAAAAAGGAATTTAAGCTGCGTAAAAATGTGTAAGTTAGAGGCCAGGCACAGTGGCTCATGCCTGTAATCCCAGCACTTTGGGAGGCCAAGGTGAGTGGATCACTTGAGGTCAGGAGTTCGAGACCAGCCTGGCCAACATGGTGAAATCCTGTCTCTACAAAAGGAACAAAAATAGCCAGGTCAGTGGCACTGGTCCCAGCTACTCAGGAGACTAAGGCAGGAGAATTGCTTGAACCTGGGAGGCAGAGGTTGCAGTGAGCCAAGATCGCACCACTGCACTCCAGTCTGGGCGACAGAGAGAGACTCTCAAAAGAAAAGAAAAGAAAAGAAAAGAAAAGAAAATAGCCTGGCCAAGATGGGGAAATCCAGTATCTACTAAAAATAGAAAAATTAGCCAGGCATGGTGGTGGCATCTATCATCCCAGCTACTCGGGAGGGGTGGAGAGTGCAGTAAGCTGAGATCACGCCATTGCTCTCCAGCCTGGGCCACAGAGCGAGACTCTCAAAAAAAAAAAGTGTAAAGTGGAAGTTAGAATCCTCCTTCACCCCCAGATCACCATTATGAATGGTGGGGTGCCTAGTGCTCTGAACTTTTCTCTCAGGAAATAATTCCTAAGGTGGCCAGTAGGCCCAGCTCAGAAAATGACCTTCAAGGGGAGCTCAGTATGAGTAGAGGGGAAAAGGAACAGAATCTAACCAACCCGGCTGAGGCCAGGCCTTGGGGCGAATGGATCAAACCACATGTTCCAAGGGATGGCCAACCCCGAACGCCGGAGGCTCTGACGGAACTTCTCTCATTCAGTGCTTTGGGCCCTCAGAACTGAGCCCCATCTCCCGCCCAAATTAAACAGTAACCACCCAAGGTCGGGGAAGGGGCCTTATCAGAGCAGGTTTCTCTCCAAGGGGCAGTTTGGCCTTGACCAGGTGACTCACCTGCTCTTGCCTATAAGTGTGCCCAGCCCATCCTGAGGGTCAGCCAGTCCTGAGCATCCAACCACGTTGGGCATCACTGTCCTCGCTGCACTCTTGGCCTGTGGTAAGCGGTGGGGTGGGGCAGCAGCCAGCAGGCTGTGAGCTCGGGCTGGCCTCCAGGGCAAGGACAGGATGGGGGTGGGGGGCCTGTGCTCTCCAGGTAAGACACTTTGGGGTCTCCTGTGGGTTCGGATGCTACCAACCAGCTGTGTGTCAGACAAGCCACAGCCTGCCTAGCAACTCTGTTTCCACATCTGCAGAACAGGGAAGATGATCTGACGTGTCCCCAGTTAGAAAAAAGGTGTGGAAAGCTGCACATAAGGGGCAGGGACACGAGATGCCTCATCCTGGGTTCACCCCAGGGACCATCGGGACCTGCCTTTCCCAGCACCCTCTCTCCCTTTGGGATTCTTCATTCCATCATTTGGTGGCGTTTTCCCAGATTAGGAGCCCAGGGACTTGGCTTAAATGTCACTTCTTCTCTGCAGGGCCTGGAAAAGTCATTTCACCTCTGTAAATCTCACTGGCTTTTTTGGCAAAGGAGAGCACTTAATAAAGAGTCCTTCCATTAACAACAACAACAACAGTAATAATAGCAGCTCCTATTTTCTGTGTATTTACTATGTGCCAGGTGCTGTGCTGGGACCCTTACATGTAGGAGCCAATTCGATCCTCAAATCAACCTTAAGAGGTAGGGTCTATTGCCAGGCACGGTGGCTCTCGCCTGTAATCCCAGCACTTTGGGAGGCCGAGGTGGGTGGATCACTTGAGATCAGGAGTTCCAGACCAGCCTGGCCAACATGGTGAAACCCTGTCTCTACTAAAAATACAAAAAATACAAAAATTAGCCAGGCGTGGTGGTGGGCACCTGTAATCCCAGCTACTCAGGAGGCTGAGGCAGGAGAATCGCTTGAACCCAGGAGGAGGAGGAGCAGTGAGCCGACATCGTGCCATCAAACTCCAGCCTGGGCAACAAGAGTGAAACTCCATCTCAAAAAAAAAAAAGAAAAGAAAAAGAAAAAGACTATTAATAGTCCCATAATACAGATGAAGACATCGAGGTTCAGTGCGACTAGTATCTTGTCTGACATCACATGGCAGGTTAGTGGAAGAGGCAGAATTTGAGTCCACGTCTGTCTCACGGAACAGTACTGCTGTGTGTTCTTGACCGCTCCACGCATCTTCCCAGCTGTAACAGTGGACTTCGTGCTCTCTCACACACACACCATGATGCAGGGGACTAAAAAGGGACAGAAGAACACAGGTGTACCAGGCACTTGCACATATGCCAGTCACATTTTTTTTTTTTTTTTTTGAGATGGAGTTTTGCTCTTGTCACCCAGGCTGCAGTGCGCTGCACGGTCTCAGCTCACTGCAACCTCTGTTTCCCGGGCTCAAGCGATTCTCCTGCCTCAGCCTCCTGAGTGGCTGTGGTTACAGGCAGGTGCCATCACGCCTGGCTAATTTTTGTATTTTTAGTAGAGACATGGTTTCGCCATGTTGGCCAGGTTGGTCTCAAACTCCTGACCTCAAGGGATCCGCCTGCCTTGGCCTCCCAAAGTGCTGGGATTACAGGTGTGAACCACCGCGCCCAGCCAAACGCTTTCTTTTCTATGTGTTGCCTGATTCAGTCCTCAGGACAAACTCACCGGGTTAGTGTGATTCTTCACATTTCACAGAAAGGGAAAACGAGGCCTAGAAACCTGGGTGACTTCCCCCCGTCACACAGTAAAGTATCAACTCTGTGTCTGCCCAGCCCCAAATCTGTGCTCCTTCCACCTGCCCACCCTCCCACCCCTTTCCCCGTGGGCGGCCAGCCCCACTCACCGGCTCTCCTGGCCTCCTGTCTCCCCAGCCTCCAGCTGCGGGGTGCCCAGCTTCCCGCCCAGCCTATCCGCCCATGTGGTAGGAGGAGAGACTGCACAGCCCCACAGCTGGCCCTGGCAGGTAAGCCTGTGTGGGGCTGGGACGTAGAGATAGAGAGGCTGGTGGGGTGAGGGTCCCA